ACACTGGTTTTACTTATTCACCAAACATGTTAAGAGCATTCACTGTTGACTAGGTGCTGTCCTCAGCACTTTATACATCGTAACGAATTTACTATGTCCTGACTATTCATACTATGAATGACCTGGGGAGAGTAAGTCATTGGTCCGAGATTTGACATCTCATCAGTGATGGAGCTGGGATTCAAACTCAGGCTTTTTGATGGGAGAACAATGAGATCTCATTGCTATTTTACTTTTTATTGCTGTGATTACTAATGGTGCTGGGGCTCATTCCATGTTCCAACTGACCATGTTAAGTTCCTTTATGTGAACTGGTTCTTTTGTGAGATAGTGGGGGGTGTTTCATTAACCTTTTCCTCCTTCTTTTCGGCTTTCATTTCTTCCTTCTGTTATTGTTGTATAGGAGTGATATTTGAATAATTTTAAATACTTTGAATTATTCTTTTTCTATTGCTCCACAGGCTGAGTTTGCACCAACAAAGAGTATAATTGGTCAGGGCAGTTTGGGTCAGATAGAAAGAATCAGCAAGGAATTCTACAGAGCTATTTCCATTCCAATTTGGCCCACATGCTGAGTTTAGAGCTAGAGGGCTTTCCACGGGGCCTGCTGTGCTGTGGTGAGATACTCAGGGATGGTAGCCTCATCCAGGACCTAGAGGGGACAGGACATGAGCTCAGAGGCAGATGCCATACCGAAGACAGCGGCAAAAAACACTGCATGTGGAGGGGTGCCCCAGCCCTGGCAGAGCCAAGGAGAAAGAGAAGACTACAGTTCTACAGACACCAAGGTTAAATGTAGACACTGCAGAATGTGCACACCTCAGATGGCAGTCAGGACACACCCAGGGGCATGTCAGAAGCCAGGAAATTCCCTTTTTTCCTGTGTCACACAGTGAGTAGGTCCTCCTTATACCCCACGAGCCATCTGAAGAGCTGGGGAAAAGGGAACAAAACTGAAAGACAGTCAATATCTCATCAAATAATGAGTTATACCCAGAGAAACTGTTTAAATTATTGGGTCATGTTTTAGTTTAAATTAAATTGGCGTCAGTTCCTGCTACCTATTAGTTGGGGGCTGTAAGAGCGGTCAAAGGAATTTTGAAGACCCTCAAGTGATCCCCCCGCGTCGACCTCCCAGATTGCTGGGATTACAGGCATGAGCCAACTCACCCAGCCTAGTCAATCTTTTTCTGTTATTAGACAGTTACAACCATGCTCTAGTACATAGCCACATTGGAATTTTAGTGAGAAAAAATATAATAAAATTTTATATGCGGGCTGTAGGTGCTTTGTTCAGCATTTAGCATAATAAGGTTGGTTACAATTTACTGTAGAAGAGGTGCTCTTGTCACTGAAAAATATCTAGCCTCAACTGTAAATGGGAGGCAGTACAAGAGAAGGTGTCCCCAGCTCCAGCTGCACCCTACTTTGAGGCTTCCTGATGTTTTGAGAGCACAGGAATGAAAAAATAGGTTGGCCTTTGTATGATATTGCTGAGTTAACGAACAAACACACCACTGGGGGCAGATTCTGTCAGCAAGTATACTCAATTCTGATGTAAATTGATGGAAACCATTAATAATAAAAGGTAAATGTGGCAAGAAACAAGTGATTAGCTGTTTGTTTGTTTAAAAAAAAAACAGATATTTATTGTTAAAACCATAATTATATTTCACTTTTGCAGAATAGCTGTTTTCCTCTCACTTAATGTTATAATTAAATGAAACAATTGTTATCTTTTGGGATTTAAAATTTTTAAGCAATATTGGATTTACCTTGAGTTAAAAAAGTAAGAGGAAAACAAAAAGCAAGTCAAAATTCAGGAACTTTCAGTTGAGCAAACAGAATTTGGTTTTGTGCTATGGTATGGTTATTTAATTTTCAAAACAATGAAATCATATATTTGAAGAAAAAGTAAGTAGTTATTAGTAGTTGAAAAAAAACAAATACAAACATTTCTATTATTACCTTCTACAAGGAAATTATTTTATAAATTGGATTTATCTTGAATCTCATCCACTTACATTAACATGCCCCCATTTATTTATTGAATACAGACTGCATAACACGTGCTGTGCTATATGCCCAAAGTACAAATATATATAATTACCATATGCAATTCCAAGACATCCACAAAGAGGGGGAACTGGAGGAATCCCCAACCTGGTAGATACCTGTGATGATGAAATATATCTCTACCCTTCTTCCATGATGCCTTTAGGTCCTTCCCAGCTATGCATAGAAGGAAAGAATCTCAGTAGGCCATTATTCTGTGCCTATATGCTTGAATTAAAGCTTGCAGTGAGACCTCTCTGGTGTCCTGGTCCCACAACTTGGCAAGCCGATCTCTCTCTCTCTTACAATCTAGGAGAATATCTTCTCTAGTTTGGGCAAGTGCCTCTCTCTCTCTCTCTCTCTCTCTCTCTCTCTCTCTCTCTCTCTCTCTCTCTCTCTCTCTCTCTCTCTCTCTCATTTCTTGCACACTCTGCTTCCTCAACCCATTTACTTCCTGCAGACTTCATAAGGTATTCTATGGAATTGAACTTTTGGAAAAACAAAAACCACCTCTGCTTCTTGGCTTAGCCACGCTTCCTTTGAGGCAATGATAATGAGTCTTCTTTTCCATAACTGTGGTCTTAATTCAGACAAGCAAAGTTGTTCAGGAACTATTACAATTACTTTCTCATTTTATTTCTCTCTTTGCACTCTAAAGCATTCCACACAAAGCTACCAAATTACTTTCCCATAAAAGTAGCTCTGACCTTGTGATCTCTGGCTCAAATATCCTTGCTGGTGTTGGGGCTGAAAATCAATGTTCCAAAATATGGTGCTTTGATATGCTCAACTGAAGAAAAAGCCTGAAGGTCTCTCTAACCTCCCCACACCCCACTAAAATGGAATAGTTCCCTGACTCCCCTTGCAGGACATGTCAGAATAGTTCCCTGACTCCCCTTGCAGGACATGTCAGAGGTGTAGCTCATCTGTTCAGCTGCCACTTCTGCTCTAAACCCTTGTAATATGGGGAGCATGTAGGTGGGCTCATGCAGGAGCTGGGCCAAGCACTTTTTGGGCTACAGTCCCATAGTAGCATCTAGGGGTGTGTTCCTGAGACTCATGAAGCCCAAGTAGGCATGTGTTATCATGTGCTTTTTTAGCTTTGCTGTCAATGAATGGCTTAAGTGTTAAACAGCTCAGTGGACCCTCTGACTTTTTGCAAGGGCAGAAGGCCAGTGCGACAGCTTTCTGTATCCTGAGCTCTTGTCCAACATTCAAGAAAAATCAGGTCACACATATACTTGAAGGAGAGTAAATGTGAGGGTTTTATTGAGTGGTGGAGGTGGCTCTGAGCAGGATGGATGGGGAGCTGGGAATGGGATGGAATGAGAAGATGATCTTCTCCTGGAGTTTGGCCACCCAGCAGCTGATCTCTCTGATTGTTCCCAGCTGAAACACTCTCAACATTCAGATGTTTTGTCTCTTCCCTCCTCTGCTGCTCTTCTGCTCTTCTATTTGTCTGCTCCTCTGCTTGTGGAGCCTGGGGTTTGGTGTCTATATGAGCAGAGGATAGGGGGAGTGTGACAGGCCAAAAGGCAACTTTTGGGCATGCAAACAAGAATGCCTGTTCCCATTTAGGGCTGCAGGTTTCTAGGCTTGAGGGTTGGGCCTTTGCCGGGGAACTACCTTATTCTACCCAGTATTTCCCTTTCTCCTGTCTGTATCATCACTAGTGACTTTCCCAAAGCACAGAGTGAATTGTTGTCTGAAGTTCCTTTATTTGTCTAAAGTCTGGACCCACCAACAGGGAGAGAAATTTAACATGGCTGACTCTATCTTGTTTTTAACCTAACAAGCTAACTTTCTTTGCTCTTTCCTGCACATAAGCAAAGCTAACTATGGGAGGGATTTAGTTTATAGTTTAACTTTAAAGCAAGGATAATAATAGCCCCTTGCCAAAACTAACCCACGAGGAGATAAAGAGGGCATACACACAAATAACAATGTTACGCTGAAGATTTATAGAAGCACTATGACCTGATCAAGGACAAAGACCTTTGCAACCTCCTCGAACTTCCGCTGATGCCTATACATATGTGGTCACCGGTTACCTCCTGACCTCAACTCCCTCTTTGGTGCCCCTTTCCCAGTATGAAAGGAATTTTTGAGATCCATGCTTTTTAAGGTGATTCTTTGGGTCACTAGTCCACCATCTTTTGAGTTTGCTTGCTGTCCAAAATAACATCACTTTCCTTGCCCAAATCCTTGTCTCTCAACTTATCGACTATCATGCAGTGAGCAGTACAAGCTTTGGACTCAACTATAGCAGGAGAGCAATCATTTCCTTTATTTCCCCTCCCTGCCATCTCATTAATTGTTGCAGAAAAGAAGACCAAGAATTTAACTATACTTGAAGAGCCTTTCACAAGACAATGTCTGTCTCTTGGGATCATTCAAATTCCAAAGAGAACTATTGACAACTTAATCTTTATTTCCCATCCATTCATTCTCCCTAGTAATCACTATTGCCCTTCACCCCACTCCCATAACCTGTTTTGCCACCATCATGTTTTTGCTAGCGTGGTACATAAACTTCCAAACCCCACTGGAAGTGTGGGTAAAACTCTGCGAATCTCCTTGTGCATTCATTAACGATTTTGTATGCCGTTTTTCCAGTTAATCTGCCTTTTGTTAGTTAGCTTTTCAATGAACTTTCAGACGTCAAAGGGGGAGTGTTCCCTTAGTCCCTATACTGGCTTCCCATTGTCAATAAAATTAGCCCTCACACCATGGATATTTAAATCTCCCATGTTGACCTTAATGTAACTGTTAAACTTTCCTCTTCCTCATTTCTCCTTTACGTCCTTGGGCATCAGGAAACATGCAAAACAACATACATGCTTTTCATTTTTCTGTCTTGGTTCATAATGTACCTTCTGTAAGAAATGTTCTTCCCTCCCTTCACACCAATTTTCATATGACCAAATTCTGTCCATCCTTCAAAGGCCAGATGCCATGCTGCTTTCTTCATGAAGGCTTCCCTATTCTCAGCCAATGCCAGCTGCAGGAAACGAAGTAATGTAAAGCCAAACTGAGACGAGTTTATGGCTGGTACTAAAAGAAAAGAATAAAAGGTTAGTGAGGACTAAGCTTTGATTTTTTTTTACCATGCCCAAATTCCTGTCTAAGGGATCTGGGGAGTCATGCCCTACTTACCATAAATTCTCATCAGATGGGCTTTATTTAACCCTACATCTTGTGACTTACTTTCCAATCTGTTCTGGCACAACACTAGGTGACAAAGAAGAAAATCAAAATATTTTACTACAAAACATGCTTCTTTGCCATATTTTTAAATGACCCTGCAAGCCATCCTTTATAGGGGGGTGGGGGCGGGGCAGGGAGGATTTGCAACTGTAAAGAATATTAACATACCTAGATCGTTTTCTTCCAGGCTCTCCCAATCCTAAAGAAATTAACTGAGAGTCTGGCACCTTTTAAAGGTCTGAATAGGAAACATTTGTCACTATTGTCTCTAAGAGCAGCCACCATGAGACTTCGAAAGAACCACAATCTTTTGTCTTAACCCAAATCTTTCCTTTCTGTTAATCCTAGGTCTTTAGACAAACTCAACCAATTATAAATCAGAAAATGTTTCAATTTACTTAGAGCCTGGAAGCTCCCTGCTTTGAATTGTCCCACCTTTCTGGACCAAACCAATGTATTTCTCAAATGTATTTGATTGATGTCTCATGCCTCCTTAAAATGTATAAAACCAAGTTGCACCCTGCCCATCCTGAAGACATATTCTCAGGACCTCCTCAGAATATGGCTATGTCACAGGCCATGGTCACTCGTATTTGGCTCAGAATAAATTCCCTAAATATTTTACAGAATTTGACTCTTTTTTTCAACGTTAGTCTAGAAATAAAGGTAAACATATAGAATAAAGTCATAATTCTGTAACAGATATTGGGATGTGCCTGAATGAGATCTAAGTATGGGATTACCCAAGACTGAGTAGTGACTGAGCCCTTCAGAACCTTGAGTAGAAATGAACTACTTGGTAGTAGGGCTGGACATTGAGAAAGAGCTATAGCTAGTTCTTTCTATGGTACTGGCTGACATGAGGGACCTTTCCAACTCTGACCTTATGCAATGCTGATGTTCAACATTGCAAAAATAGCTCCTGATGACTTATCTAAACTCCTATTGTACTTTTGTTGTGTCTTTCTTACGATACTAAAATTAATGATGATATAATGAGAACATTATCTATCTGTCCCATCTCCACTGATAAATGATAGCATGCTCAAAGGCAAGGCTCACCTGATATAGTACGCTGTACATAATTGTCAGACCACCCAGTTAAAAAGTTGAGACATCAAAGCATTGATATCCATACTGGTTCTATCACATTAAGCATTGTTACAATAGTAAATTCAAAGACGGATGATTCTGGTGCCATAAAGAGGCTTGTCTTTGTACTTGGCAGTCTCCCGATGAAATGGCGATGTTCTGAAACTATCCAGTCTTTATTGATCAATACAGCATATGCCAATTTGACAGAAAATTCCATTTTTTTTTTCTGTTCTAAGGGTATCTTGACACTGCAGATGATTAAATAAAGTGTGAGAGGTACACTCACTGTCACATTATATCAATGTCTGCAACATGACTGGAGTGAGACCAGAAATTTCCATGAGACCCAAATTATTCCCATATGAGGGAAGAATACAGTCATTATACTTAGCTTAGTAAAAGAAGAACATGATGAAAAAAACAGTATTTCTATAAAATATGGGAGCTACTTTAATCTATCACTTCCGTCCTTAATGAAGTAGAAATAAACTTCACAATCAGCTCACCTGTGAGGATCGTAATCTGCTTTATAAATGAGACATTAGGGTAAACCTGGCCAGAGGAACATGATGAGGGAAGTAGCTTTTGTTAATTAAAATAAATAATTTCCTGTCTGTTTTGAATTCTGTTTTATCTGTTGCTACTTTCCCTAACAAGGCCTCTCTGTCTATTAATAATGAAAAACCTGGTCCCAAATCATTTATATCTAAATGATTAGATATATGTGACTTCAATGAGCATTGGTCCTGCTCATGGATGCTCCTATGGAAGGCTGTGAAAGCACAATTTTAGAATGTTTCTTTCCTCCTATGCATCCCGAAAGGCACTGGGATTTAAATTTACTCTCATTCTGTCATCTTTCAACAGAATGATTTTCCCCACTTTGGAAAAACTGTTCCAATGTTTTTGGACATCAGGGTTAATGTCAGTTTTCTTAAGTTGTGAGTACATCTCACTGAAGTAAATAAACGTTTTAATTCTTAAATAGTATCTCTTCCACCCCACAACCCTGTTCCCCAAGGAAGAGAGACTTGATTTAAAAGATGATCCAGTAATATATTCTGTTTGCTTTCCTGCCTTCTCTTTGGCTAAATGCTGCATTGATTGTAGCACTTGAAGTGTTGCCACATTCAGCAATACAAGCTTCACATGATTTGATATTTAACTTGTGGGAAAGAAGCCCAGATCTTTCTCTCCCTCTTTTTTTCTCCCTGTGTGTTTATTGAAATAAGAAGTGTCATAACCAGCTTGTCTGTTTACTTTCAGCCCATTGTTTTGGGAAGAATGAGGAAAAAAACTGACTAGCATTCAGAAGCAGCAGTCAAGAAAAGCACACATCTTTTTTCCTCTTATATACAAACTTGTTTAATCAGAGCATTTGTACTTTGATGTATTATTATTACTTCTCTCTATGGGAATTGATTTGTAATACTACCTAATCAGTGTGGAGCTGAGTAATAAATATAAGACATTAATTTCCATAAGCCATATATATTTGAAAGCTTCATTTACATAGTGAACAATTTATTCCTATAAAATCTAATGTATTTCTATTCCTTTTGGGTTACTGTTTGCATAACCTTTTTATAGCTCTGGTGAACCATAATGCTGCCCAATGTTGACAAATTTCTCACTATTGTCCAATGCATAAAAATGTATTTTTAGTAACTCTCCAATGTTCTCTCAGTAATTTTTCTTCTTTTTTTTTCCCTCACTTACTATTGAGGGTAATTCGCTTTTAGGAGATGAAACATTCCATTTATTTCCCCTTCCAATTTCAGCATCTCATTTGGCAGTCTTCTGTAGCCTAGTAAAGGCTTCTGATATAGTTGGTACCAAGACAACCCCATTTATCCCAGACAAGACTACTCAGCTTTAAGAAAAGTGCAGACTCAGCTGTAAGTAATATCATCTTTGTCTCTAAGAGGTTGGGGAAATGAGACTGAGTGTAACTGAGTACACTTAACATATAAACTGAGCATTTTTAGGTGATTGAAGATGAATTGAAGATGTTGAAATAGATCATCATATTTTAGAAAAATACATATGTGCATAAATATAGTGTGTGCATATATATGCATTCATCTATATATGTATATGTGTATATATTATAAATATATATATACAGAGAGAGAGAGAGAGAAGCTTAACATATAAAATAGACTTAGCTTCCAACCCTTCATCTTTAGCAATTTCTACGTGCTTGAAGTTTTGATTATTTAAGATTTTTTTTTACTTTTTATAGACAACTTGAACCTAATCTCGTAATATCCTAAATGTGGATTACAATGTATAGTTTTAATGCACTTTCATGCATATGATCACATTTGATTATTACAACATTTCCATGAGGTATCAGTATGTCACTTTTGAAGATAAGGAATATAAGAACCAGGAATTTCTAGGATTATATATTATTGACACAAAGGGAGTACTTACTGGGTTTATCTGGAGTATAAGAACAACTGAAACATACACCTGTTTCAGCACAAATAGTCATTAAGGTATTGACATCATTTTATAAGACCACAGTAAATATTCCCCTGGTTACACAATCCTTTTGAACCTAGGGGAAGAGGAATTACTGCCAAGGCAGAAGTGCATTGGCTCCGGCTCTTAGTGTGTTCTCCTGTGACTCCTCCAAACAACTTGCCCTGAATCCAGTCCAGGTGGGTAGTGAACCAAAATCATTAGCTGTTGTTTCAAAAACAATGTGGAATAAATCAGGGGTCTCAGTTCAGTTCCTGAAAACAAGACTCCATTTCAACCTTCCTACCTCTGCTAGGCAGTATTCCTGGTCAAAGATTAATTGGTACACGAGAAGAGTGTTTCTTGCTCTCCCTGGAGTCAGATAAATGAATGCTGAAGAGGACGCTGGGTCTGTGTTGTAGATAGGGGCAGCACAGAGACAGGAACAAAGGTTTTCAATGAGGATGCTAAGCTTTAGTTATACCCGTTGCACCACTGTGCCATCCAGCTGACTCTGCTTCCCTGCATGAGCAATGAGGGAGAGAAGCAGGGGATTTGGAGTCAGGTGCACCTGGGTTGCAATTCTTGCTGGTCTACTTACCAGCACTGGGAATTAGGTCATGTTACCTCCCAGAGTTTCAGCATGGAGAATTGTCGAGTAAGAAGTGTGCACTGGTTTCCTACTGCTGTATAACAAATTACCACCAGCTTAGCAGCTTAAAGCAACACCCATTCATTATCTCAAGTTTCAGTTGGTCAAAAGCCCAGGCACAGTATGGCTGATCTTTGCCCAGGATACCACCAGCAAGGTATTGGCCTGGGCTGTGATTCTCATCTGCGGCTAGAGACCTTCTTTCAGGCTCACAGGGTGTGGGCAGAATTCATTTCCTTTGAGTTGGAGCTAAGTTCCTAGTTTTCCTGCAAGCTTCAGGCAAGGAGCTGCCCTCATCTCCCAGAGGTTGCCAGCAGTTTCTTGCCATGGAATCCCCAGGGACAGCCCACAAGATGCACATTTGCATTTTCCTAGGTGAACTGACACACATCTCTCTGACTTCCTTTTCTGCTAACAGATAGAAAAAAAGTCTGCTTTTAAATGGCTCTTGCGTTTAGGTCAGGCCCACCTGTATGCTCTCCCAACGTTAAGGTCAGCTGCACCATATAACATAACTTAAGCATGGGAGTAAAATCTATGATAGTCACAAACCCAGGATAATGGAGAGCATGCACATCACCAGCAGGAATCTTGGGGACAGTTTAGAATTCAACATGTCACCCAGGGGTAAAATTTCTATGAAACTAATCTATCCCCATGCAAATAGTTGGCATACAATAAATGGTAATTCCTCTGTAAAATATGGTTAAGACTTAATATATTTTTAAAGTTATGACAATTCTGATTAACTATTTTCCGCATCTGTCTTCCATTAAGAGAAAAATTTCATGTAAATTACATTAATTTTACTAATCGTAGCGTCCAGCCCACCACTGAGCGAGTAGAGTGCCTAGTAAAGACTTGTTTGAATGATGTGGGCTATGGAAAGATAAAGTCATACTCTCATACTAAATAATCGTGTTGACATTTTGAAGACTATCGGCTGTGAGTCAAGACTCTCTAAGGGTGTTTATATTCACATGCATAGTTTTAACCAATGGTCATTTATTAGCAATTCATAAACCTTTATTTACAGATCAAATGACTGTCAGCACTCAAACCTGTACTGAAGCTGCATACTGGCCACTGCTGCTCGCATGTTACCTAAACATCTCAGACTCAACGTGTTGCAAATACAACTGCATCCCACAAATAATTTCCTTCTTTTATATCTTCTGTCTCCATGAATATGTTAAAATTTCTCCAATGTCCAAGGCCAGAAACTGGATAATTATTCATTTTTGACTCTCATCCTTCTTCCCTTTTTTATCCAACTGGCGAAATCACGCCAGTTCTGTCTTCTGAATGCCTCTTTCACTTACCCTGGCTCCTTCGTTTGTTATCCTTGGTCTTCGTCATTCCCTATCTGTCAATGGCAGTTGTGTAATCAAGTTTTTGTTCTCAAGTTCTCTGATTCATTCTGCAGTCTATTGTTCAACTTATTTTTCAGAAATGTAAATCTGATCCTGTTTCTTGCCAGTTTTCAAAGAAACTCAATCAATTTTAAGAAGAAAAAAAAAACTGGCTGTCCAGCTTCTACTTTCACTACCTGGCCACCCATGAACCTCCATATAGCATGAACAGTTACTTTTAAAAAATATTTTTGAAGCATAATTTACACACAATAAAATACAGATACTATGTGTGTGTTCATGTGTTTTGATAAATGAATATGTTTGTGAAACCATTATCTAGTTAACATTTAACACATCAGTCATCTTTTTTGTAAAATATAAACCTTCTTATGTTTCTTGTTACTCTCAAAAGTGTTTCATCACAGAATGAAATTCTATTCCCATTCTTGAAACTGCCTTTGCACAATTATGATTGAGACAGTGAAAGATCTAATTTACCCAACTCCATCTTGCTTCTAACCTCCAAGCTGTCCTTGTTCATTCCTTGGCCACAGGCTGAACTAACTTTGGGAGAAACTTAGTTTGTAGTTCAAACAAAGATGGTAATAGCCTTTTGCCATTGCAGATCTTCTTCTTGCCTGTGGACTATACTGCCTTTGTAGGACTAACATTAGCCACAAGATTAGAAATTATAGTTTAGGAGTCAGGCAGCTGGAGGCTACAAAATTCTGACCCTCCCTAAACTGCTTCTAAGATCAGTGCTTGAGATATTTTGCAGACCCTGCACTTGATGGATCAGCTGGCACCCCCCAAGATCAATAAACTGGCTCATATAATCTTGTGGCCCCAACCCAGGAACTGACTCAGTGTAAGAAGACAGCTTTGACTCCCTATACTCCTGCACAGCCACATATGCATGAATTACTCTTTCTCTGTTGCAATTCCCCTGTCTTGATGAATTGACTCTATCCAGGCAGTGGGTAAGGTGAAACCCTTGGGTTGTTACATTCTTATTTATATAATTACATAGGTAGGACCCTGCCCAACTCTCTGACCTTTTCTCCTACAAATCTACCCCTCATTCATACAGCCCATCTCTATGCTCTTTTCTAGTTGTCTCCAGTTCATCTCTGCCTTTGCCTAGAACACTTTCATGGCTTTCTGCCTAACTTCTGTCAACCTTAAATAATGAGATTCAGAAAATATTATTAAGTATAGAGTGTATTTCAGTGAAAAGTGTGAGGATAGCCACCCAGGAAGCACTGACTCCAAATAAATGGGGTCAGTGCTCCTAGGTAGGGAGGTTAAGATTTTATTTACAAAAGGGAGAGACAGAGAAGTTGCAGCAGAATTACATTTTTCATACAAATGCATGCATTATAGAAATTTGATTGGTTGCAGATTGTTGATTCCAAGGAAGATTATTTTAATACTCTATGAGGAGGGATAATGACAGAGTGGGTCTTATCTCTGTTACTGTTTGGTCTTCCTAATAACTTATAAAAGAAAAAAGAAAGGGCAGAAAGAAGAAGCTACAGCTACATGCCTCATCACACAAGCCATATAGCCAGATTCCTTTCAAGGCTCAAAATAACATAAAATTTCAACAGCTTTAAATTTGAATTATTTTATTTCTTTTTTTTTTCTGACAGAGTTTCACTGTCATTACTTAGGCTGAAGTGCAATGGCGCGATCTCGGCTCACCGCAACCTCTACCTCCTGGGTTCAAGCAAATCTCCTACCTCAGCCTCCCAAGTAGCTGGGACTATAGGCATGCACCACCATGCCCAGCTAATTTTTGTATTTTTAGTAGAGATGGAGTTTCACTATGTTGACCGGGATGGTCTCGATCTCTTGACCTAGTGATCCACCCGCCTCGGCCTCCCAAAATGCTGGGATTATAGGCATGAGCCACCACACCTGGCCCGAATTATTTTATTTCACATTTCCTTCAGGTTTGTTCAAATGTCCTTTCTTACAGCCCAATAGATCCTTGTGTTTAAATGATGTGTTCTATGGGGAGCTTCTTGATGATTCTATTTTAAATTGCACTCATAACAGGGCCTAAGCCCTTACTTGTATCTTCAGCTGACAGAATTTATAAATTATTTATTTAGACACAGGGACTTACCCTGTCTCTCAGGTGTGTGATCATGCAGCCTCAATGTCCCACACTCTAGCAATTGTCCCACCTAAGCCTCCCAAGGAGCTGGGACCACAGCCCACCACCCCACCCAGATAATATTTTGTTTTTTTAGTGATGGGGTCTCCCTGTATTGCCCAACCTGGTCTCAAATTCCTGGGCTCAAGCAGTCCTCCTACCTTGGCCTCCCAAAGTGCTGGAATTACAGATGTGAGGCAGCAGGCCCAGCCTATATTTGTTTATATGTTTGCTAGAATGTAAAAGGACAAGGGATGGCTTGTTTACCACCATTTTCTCAATGCTCCAAATAGTATTTAAGAGTAGTCCTCAGTAAATATTTGTTGAATGGAGTGGGTAAAATTTACACTCTATAGCATGGCATAAAAAGTCCTTCATGATATGAACTTTGCCTTGTATCTTACCTATATTTTCTGCTTCCCATAATCCCTAAACTTCACTCAGTTTGAACTACTTAGAGTTCCTCAAAGACTAGGTTTCCCTTCACCTCTGGCCACATATTCTTAGTGTTCCTGGAATTTCCTTGCTTCCTTTGACTGCCTTTCAAATGCTTGCTTCTTGGCTGAAGTTTCTTTCTCTGTGTAACTCTTTGACTCTTTCAGCAGACTTCAATCTCCCTGCTCTATATACCTCCTCCCCACATTCTTCTTAGGATAGCCCCTAGAATGTCCAGGAAACACTCATTTTTCAGTGCTGTTTTTCCACCAGTGTCTGAGCTCTTTGAAGATTTAATGATGTCTTTCATTTTTGTATCTCTGATTGCCAGTTTAATGAATAATTTGAACTCAATGAATTTTTGAGTGTTCAAAGAAAATAATAGAAAACAAAAGAAAAGAGAAGGAAAAGGTAGGAAGAAAGGAGGAAAAAGAAAATAGCTAGAAAAGAAAAATAAAATAGATATTTAGATAAATATTGAGATATAAATTTAGTCCCTCAAAAGTGAAGAGTCCAAGGCCTCGGAAAAATAACCTAGTTAATTCATGGCTACCTTCAATTGTTAAATCTAGGGCTTATTTAGATTAAAATTTTTTCAATTCTTGCTCTCTATCTCTGTGTGTGTGAGAGAGAAACAGCAAGAAAGAGCAGGGATACTGTTTCTGAAGGGAAAAAGAAGATCGTATATGTTAAAAGTAAAATTTCAGCCAAATTGAATGTAAGGAGTTTAATTGAGCAATGAATGATTTGCAAATTGGGCAGCCCCAGAATCACAGCAGATTCAGACAGACTCCAGGGGTGCCTCGTGTTCAGAACAAATTTATAGACAAAAAAAGGAAAGTGATGTAAAGAAATAGGAAGTGAGTTACAGAAACAGCTGGATTGGTTACAGCTTGGTGTTTGCTTTATTTGAATACAGTTTGAACACTCAGCATTGTATGAGCAGTTGAAGTATGGCTGCTGGGATTGGCTGAGACTCAGCTATTGTTACTGGTGCATATCCCTAAGATAGGTTTTCAGTCTTGGTAAGCTATTAAGTTAGGTTGCAGTTAGGACTCAAATACAGAATTACAGAGTCCTTCTCACGTCATATTTAGTTGGCTTTAACATACAGAAGAGAAATACATTCCTAAATAGTAGTTTGAGTATAAACTCAAAACAGGTTTAAGTACAAACAAATAGTAACACACACCACACGTGTACATATCCATATGATGTTTGTTAGACATATAATTCATTTCCTAATATTTTATTTTAATGATGGGAAACCCATTTACCAAACGATCAGATGTGAAGATCACTTTTTTGTGTGACACCTAGTAAAATCCCCCAGTTTTCCCTTATTTCAGCTTTATTCCTTCTTTAACCAATTTTTTCTTTTGAAGTTGTGCAGACCAAGGATAATAGAGAGGAAAGTTATGAGATTGTTATGTTAATTGTGTTATTTCTACTTCATATTTTATAAAGCTTTGACATCTTGGGGGCCTCTCTGGCCTGGGAGAGACTGTCCCTCCAAAGGTTATCTAATTTCTAGATATAGCAAATGTGACCCCTTCACCCCAGCCCACCCACCCTGTGAACATGCCTTTCACCAAGAAGCTAAAGCTCCTATCTCCCACCTCCTCCTCTTTGTAACTCTCAGATACCAAGCCAATAGTTCCCCTGCCCTAAAGTATTCCTGGGTCAGGTACTAACAACTAGAGAGCACCCCTGTAGCCCAGAGCCTGCTGAAATTATTCCAACTGTCTAATCCTCGACTTGATCAAACTTTGTCTCACCCATTTCTTCCCAAGGAAACCACAGTGAAGGCTCTGAGCCATGCTTTTCCCTTCTTCCTTCCTTCTGCTTCCTGAATGAACTGGCTACTTCCCTATGTGGCCCTGTGTTCCCTTCTCTTGGGAACTGCGAGTAATAAAACTTTGCATGTCATCATTCAGTCACTTATGTAAAGTAAATCTAGGTACAATCAAGAAATGGTTTTGTATAGGTAAAACAAAACTAGTAATGAATCTTTGAATAATATGATTAATTTTAATTATCAGTACTCTGCCTGCTCCTTTCCCTCAAGACTTTCATGTAATAGTAATCAAACCAGTAAAATCAAGAATTGCCTCTAATGTTAATCACACTAGAATGCAGGGAGCTATGAGGGAAAGAAATGAAAGAATTCCCTGGGAAACACTGCAATACGTGTTCACATCATTCTCTGGAACAACACTTTGGACAAAAATCCATTTAACTTGTTCTCAGCCATCATAGTTGTTTTCCTGAATCATAAAATTCCCATTATGAAATAAACCCTGACATTAACTTGATTAGTATAATCATAAATCTCAGCAGCCGCATGCATGCTTTAAACGGCCATTTTTCAGGCCACAATTATAGATTCTATTATTTTCCCTACCTATAGCCGTAATTAGATATTATTTCAATGCACAGCCAATGTTTGTCAGTATTTTTTAAAGCCATGTAAAAGACTCATTGGTGTAAAACAACTGAGACAAAGTTGTGAGAGTTCAGTGGCAATATATTAATTTTGTTGATTAATTATAAACTCGATTGAAAACAACCCAAAATTATCCATGGCCTTTGCTATGAAGGTATATACTACTATTTACACATAGCTTTCTTTGAATGTTTACATGTATGGGCGTATCTATGTTTGGGGCTCAGAAACTGAGATCTCAAAATATGGTGCTTTGAACTGAAGAAATCTTAATATCTCTTTGGTCTTTTTCACCACTCCTGTCTCACAATCGTCTGTCTCTCACAATGCGCCAGATGCAGTTGTTCTCTGAAGTTCCTTCATTTGCCTAAAGATCAGACCTACCAAAGAAGACAACAGTTACCTCTGGGCCCCTTTCTTGTGTGTTCATTAATTGAATTCATACTATTACAGGAAAGGGGTCTCAATCCAGACCCCAAGAGAGGGTTCTTGGATCTTGTGCAAGAAGGAACTCAGAATGAGTCCTTAGAGTGAAAGCAAGTTTTTTAAGAAATTAAAAGAATAAAGAATGGCTACTCTATAGACAGAGCAGACCCAAGGGCTCCTGTTTGTCCATTTTTATGGTTATTTCTTGATGACATGCTAAACAAGGGTTGGGTTATTCATGCCTCCCCTTTAGACCATATAGGGTAGCTTCCTGACTCTGTCATGGTATTTGTAAAGCATCATAGCACAGGTGGGAGTGTAGTAGTGAGGACGACCAGAGGTCCCACTCATAGCCATCTTGATTTTGGTGGGGCTTAGCCAGCTTCTTTACTGTAACCTGTTTTATCAGCAACATCTTTATGACCTGTATCTTGTGCTGACCTCCTATCTCACCCTATGACTACAAATGCCTTAACTGTCTGAGAATGCAGCCAAGTAGGTTTCAGCCTCATTTTACTCAGCTCCTATTCATCATGCAGTTGCTCTGGTTCAAATGCCTCTGATAATACTGCAGGAAGGAAGACCTAGGTCTGTCACACCTGGGCAGACTTTGATCACAAACCATTGTCTGCACTTTGAATCCAACAGGCTTTGGCCCAGGCCATTGTACGTTCCTTAAGCCTGTTGAATTCCCCTAAAAATTATCTACAACCTCCTAAAATCATCCAGACTTCCCATTTCTCTTTCTCTAAAAAATAGGATACATAATCATCTATACCGATTGTGTGCTGGCATAATTATTCTCCCCATGCACACTAACAAATTTGTGTGCCGTTTCTCCTATTAACCTGCCTTTTGTGAACTGCTTTTTCAGCCAAGGTTGCTTCAGTGGTGAAGGGGAAGTTTTCCCTTGGCCCCTATACTACATGTAGATAAATAGTTACATTATTTAGATAAGACATTAAAGAGAGCTTTCTATTCTAAAGTAAATGCTTTGTAATAAAGATTTTTCTTTGAATCACATTTACATAAATTTCATAAAGTAAGAAAAGGAAACGTTCACCTATAATATGCTGTTTAATGGATTGCTGAAATGAGGTGCTCTGTGGACATTAGTTCAGGCATGGAGGCTTGGAATTCAGTTCTTTGTAACTGGCTTGGTCTCATTCCTGAGGATGATGGAGCTTCTTGCTGATGACCATGCACAGATGATGTCAGCACTCAGAATCTCCATTTACAAAGAAACCCAACTGCAGGGAACCATTTTTACCCCTGAGTTTGGATTTCAGCTTTGCTTCCATTTAATCATGAGTGACCTTGAGTCTATTACTTGGCCTCTATAATTCTTAGTTCCATGATTTGAAAAAGGAGAGTTCGAAATGAAAAATCATAGGTCTTGGTTCTTGGTGTGGTGGTTCTTGGGGCAGAATAAACAGGACTGGTTCCCCTTTTGACTGACGTTTGGAGCTCTGGGCCAGATCGGAGATTCCCGGGCAGAAAAGCACCATCAATCTTAACGCC